GTGAGTAAAAGACTTTCGAAAAACTTTTTCTTTTTTTTTCCTTTTTTTTTTCTACCCTCGCTTCACCATTTTGATGTATGTAGTTTCATCACCAGCATCATCATCATAATCTGTTGTCTGTCTCCCAATCTGGGTAAGGGCAAATATTTTCAGTATACGACCACTACCAGAATATCTATGCTAGTTAGCTCGTCTGTCTAGAGAAATGAAGAAATTTAAGCGGATGCTGAACATCGAACGACAATGTTAATTATTACTCATCATTCGATTAAAAAAACAACAAAAAAAAGCACTTTCGTTGACATTCATAATTCTTTGTAATATTGAATCATCCATTGCTGTTTGTGAAATTAAAAACAACTTATTAATGCTTCCATTTAACTTTTATTTAGCTAACACTAATTAAAATAGTAGTAGCAACCTCTTTGTGTTGAAGTCTTTTTTAACTCACTGGATGAAAATACGATAATCTTTCATTTTCATCCATTTCTTAGAAATGTGAATAAATCTGTATTTAATACTAAACATAAATATTTCGTATACTTCATAACTTATTGACGCTTTCTTTTTGTCATTTTTATGAAGTTTTCATATTTTAAAAAATTCTTTCTAGGTTTATTTTTAAACATGAAATACCAACCAATAAAATATGAAATTATCAATGGAGTTACCAAAAAATATTTTAACGGGATTTTAATAATTCATCTTATGCGTTTTGCTTTTTATTAACGAAGGAATTTTTCAATGGTCTCTTTTGTTGATAACGGTAAAGTTGGGGGACGTCTAAGAAATACTAAAAATAGTGACCCGTTTGCACAAGAAAAAATTACCTTTTATTTAATATTCAAAAGTCATTTTTTTCTGCATTTTAGGCTGAAGCAAAAAAGGAATAAAAATCAAAATCGTTCGCCTTTAAATTAACGTGTTTTTATTTAAAGGAAATGAAAATACTTCATCATTTTTAACACAAAAAAACGATAATGATATAGCAAAATATGAGCTCTCACGTTAAGTCAAGAGTAAAATTTATACATACATACATACACATATATATATATATATATATATATATATATATATATATATATATATATATATATATATATATATATATATATATTTTTGTGGGGGTATATTACATTAGATCTTTTTACTCCGATAATAAATATAAATTTGGTACAGATTTCGAAAGCTTTAAAATAGGTACCTCCAAAAACAAGCGATACCTAACGTTTAAAATACATTTTTAAAAGGAAAAATATTTCTTGAAGTTTTATTTTTGTTTTAATTTCAAGCTAATAGATTAATATTTCCAATAAGCAAAATATTTTGCTGCATTTCAAACCGAATTTAAATCGAATAAACTAATTTTCTCCTGATTATCAGTAAAATCTATAAAATCGCCCATATTAAAAAATCTGTCAATACAACGGGATTCTCTTTATAAAAATGCTTTCAAAAATAAAATATACTTTTTCGAAACACTCGAATTTCTCGTACAAATCCATGGTTCCATGATGACACCAGAAAAACAAGAATTTTAACCAATATTTCCAAATTTATAAAAAGGATAAAAATATAATTTTTATATAAAAAATCCTTTTATTTTTCATCTTAATAATAACACAAAGGCTTTGACGATAAACATTTTGTTTTTTTTTGTTTTTTGTGCCATTTTATTCAACATGTATCAGCTTTTTTAGCGAATTTTTGGAGGCATTGGCATTTTCCTTCCGAAGATCGAGAAAATAAAGTAGAATAAAAATTAATAAATAAAAGATAATGAAAGCAATTAAAAAAGGCGATAATGCCAGACCCTGTAATGAGAGTGAATTATTCTCAACAGAACTATTTACCAACAATATAGTCAGACTGTACTCTTAACAATAACATAATCTCATAAAAACAATGTTATTAAAGTGTCTAGTCGTCTGTCATGGTAGTCATTGTCATTTTACCCTCTGAACTCGTGGTCAATGTTCAACCCCAAATAAACGTCAAAATGTCGAATGAGTGCTTATTTTGAAAATATGATGGCTCTCCACACAGTGATACGTTTCTGCTTGACTTAGCTCCGCTACTATTTAGGTGTGGTTAACACCCGTTCCCTCTTTGCGTCAGTTTTACATTTAAACTCTTTTTTATTGTGACTATTTTGGTTAAAGTTCGTATTTTTTTTTATTATTTCAGATTAAATTTTCCAACATATTTCAGTTAAACTTTCATTTTAAAAAATTATAGTCTATAATTATAGTTTATGGAAAAAAAATGAGGCGTTAGCTTAAACTGACGCCAGGAAGATATGGCTTTATTTCTTAATATCTTTTTACGTTCGGTTAATAATATTTATTACTTTTTTTCGCGTTTCACTTGTAAAAAAATCAACGATGGAAATAAAAAAAAATTACTGTTATTAATATTATTTTTTTTGATATTTCGTAGTATGAATTTTTTTATCTCGAAACGAAGTGATGAAAAATACGTTTCACCTTATAAATAGCAAATTTCACTAATTCCTTCGTAGTTGAAATTCTTTCTTTCCTATTGTTGTTGCTTGCATAACTGCTGTAAAAATCAAAGCAAAACTAATGTACACTAAAAAGAAAGAAAAAAAATTAGTAAAACAATAATAATAATAAAAATACCAATGCTTTATTTAAGAAATTCGGACAGCTTCAGACTGTTATGTCTATTTACGATGCCTTTCTATTTCTACGACCGTTAAATAAGCTGCATGAATCGAAAATAAAACGACCTGAACGTTGCGACAAAAAAAAAAAAAACAATAAAAATAAGATGAAAGAACTATTAAAAATTAATAATAATGACAATGTTTCATCTATTAAATTCGAACGATTACGTCTAGAATTAAAAATAATGACAATGTTTTGTCTACGAAATTTAGACAACTTCAGACTACTACATCTATTTACAATGAATTTATATCTACGACTATTTACTATGCATTTCTATGTCTATGACTGCATGTATAAGCAACATAGATTAGAAACAAAATGATCTGAATATTGAGATAAAAAGCAGGAAAAATAAAGTGAAAGCAAATCTAGTAAAAATAATAATAATAACAATGACTCATCTAATAATTTCGGACAACTTAAGACCATTAGGTCCTTTTACAATGCATTTGTATTTCTACGACCGTTAAATAAGCAGAATGGATCAGAAATAAAAAAAATGCATGGATGTTACAGTAAAAGCAACAAAAATAAAATGTAAGAAAATCAGTAGAATATTAATAATGATGACAAGGCTTCATCTAAGAAATTCGGACAACTTAAGACTTCTTTTTCTGCCACTGTTAAATAAGCAGCATAGATCGGAAATAAAAACAACTTGGTCGTTATGATAAAATGCAATAAAAATAAAATGAAAGAAAAAATAGTTTTAAAAAAAAAGCACGTTATAAAGAAGGCATGATGTCCTGTACAAAATCTACAGCATAAAATCTTTGAATTTCCACCACGACGTACATAAAAAATTTATCCAGCAGTTGTTGCCAGACAGAAAGACAAATTAGCCCAGGCGATTCGAATGTTCATTTTAATTTGATTTAAATTGTGTGTATATGAACGTTTTCATGTAACCATATATATTTTAATAGTGACAAACCTTAAAGTATTTCTACAAAATAAGCAAAATTAAAATATGTTTTGCTGAATAATTTTCAAAGATACGATAAAATTTGCTGAATAATTTTCAAAGATACGATAAAATTTGCTGAATAATTTTCAAAGATACGATAAAATTTGCTGAATAATTTTCAAAGATACGATAAAATCTTATAATTATCTGAAATTTTTTCGTATTTAAAAAATTAATTTTTTTCTTGTCATCAACTTTATGATTTTATTACTCAGCCCAGTTTAGAGGTTGTCCAGACTGAGTAGGAGGGGAATGTATTATTTCAATGCTGGAAATTACCCATCTCCTTCGGCCATACTTTATCTTTACAGGGCCCCGATTAGATTAAAAATGGTTTATTGCTGCCATATCTAGGCTTGAGCTACTAAATTCTCACTTTCCACCCTTGATAGAGTCCTTCTGTCAAGTTTCAACGTTACAAGAATCAGATTAGACCCCAAATGGTGTATTTTCGTGGATTTTGACATCATTCTAGGGTCTTTTCCCCCCGTCTAAATCCGTGAGTTTGTTTTGTTCATGCTCGAAAAAGTCTCAAAAAAACACGATATAAAATTTACTATTTTTACTCATAATGTTGAATGTGTTAAAATTTTTCAACTTTTTAATAAGAAAAATCTCAAGTTGATGTTAAAAATTGCCGCAAAACATTGCTGATTAATTCTGCCACACTTCATCTTTACAATTAAAGTATTGCTGCTATATCTTGGCTGGAATTACTCAATCTTCACATTCTAGCCTTGATAGAGTACAAAGTGGTTTATGCAGTATTGTTGGGAATGACTTATTCTCCAAACTACAGCCTCTCCACCACAGACACAATATTGCAAGCCTGTCAGTATTTCCATGGTAAATGATCAGATGATCTCCATTTTTAGTTCTACCAGTTCAGACCTTTACTGCACCTAGAAGATGCCATGCTACTTACACGGAGTTGAATCATCTTCATTTCCCCCGTATTCTAAATGTAAGGCGGAAGTTTCACCCAGCTTCTTTCCAAGAACTGCTACTTTGGAGAACAGGTTCACGTGTGGATGCTTCCCTGAACACCACAATCATCTTCAAGTCAAGGGTGAATCCTTATCTATCCTCTTTATTATCATAAGTTTCACTTTCTACTACATCCTCTTATATTCATATCACGCACCTCAGTAAACTCTCTACCTTGAGTGGCTTTTGAGCCTTGTATTAAATGAACTTTAATTAAATTGTTTTTGGAATAAAAAAAAAAAGGAAGAAAAGGAGGAAAGTTGGGATAAACGGGCAGGTTGGGATAAACGGGCAGGTTGAATAAAAGTAGGAATAAAATAGACGTGATTGGGGGTCTGGAATAATAGTGG